CCAGATCCAAGTCCAAGTCCAAGTCCAAGTCCAAGTTTCTCACCGGGCACTGTTTTCACGGGCATTTCCGCCAATGCAGTGCCCGGTAGGCCCTTCCAAGTCCAAGTCCAAGTCCAAGTTTCCTACCGGGTCAATGTTGACGCCCCAGTAGGAAGTCCAAGTCCACTTCCAAGCCGCCCACTTTCTGAACGTTTTTCTGATGCATCAGAATGTGGAGATGTTTGAAGGTGGGTGGCACTTAAAGATGGCAGAGCATCCAGGCATGGGTTGCAAACACTGCTCGGGGTGCATCAAGCAAGGGGTTGGTTTGAGACCATGGATGAGCTGCACTCAAGAAGGAAGAGAAAGATTCAGAGCTTCTGTGAATACTGTCCTGGGTGAAGGTTCTGTACTTGATCTAGGAAAGCAAGATAGCCTTCGTGTATCCAAATGCCACGTTCAGGTGTCAGAATCTTTACAGCTAGCAAAGAAGAAGAGCATGGGTCGAACCAGCCGGAGGCAGCCATTGGTTCTTCTCCGGCCCGAGAAACGTGGCAAAGAAGACCTTATTCCGCTGTTCAGCCTTCCGCTATTTAGCGTGATTCTCATGTACTTTTCTAAGGACCATGCAACGTACATGGTCCTTGCACCTCGCGCAAGCATCCCCAGACCAACAGAAACCGCATCTGCTGGGGTTGGCAACAGTAGGTCCATCTTTAGAATATGTCCGAATTTTTCTTATGAACGCAGAGCAATTGTTGAGGGACCAGCCTCTGAACTCCCAGAACGAAGGTACAGTGGTCGGGAAAACCCGTCTTCGGACATTGCGTATATGCCGTCGACTCTAACACGTCATCTATTATATGGGGATGCGCTGCGCACATGGCGCGCAAACACGGAGGTTTCAGAGCTCTCCCCTAGGAGGGAATCAGGGTCTCTGAGATTCTGAAATACTTTTGAAAGTTCCGCTCCATCTGCGCATCTGCGGGGCGTGCCATCGACTTCAAAAATTCTTTTATGATGCCGGGCATGCTTTAGATATCAAAACCTTTATGTAAGTGAACTGCTACATGCTGCAAATGATTACAAAAAGAAGTCAGCGTCCGTTCGTACACCCTACTGGAGGACACTTGGTTAGAAAGTGACCCTTACTCCAACCCTGCCACAGACTTCAATAATGTCCGAGAGATCAGTGCTCTGTTCCTCGTTGTCCGTGTAGAGGTGGATCCTTGCTCGATGCTTCGGAAAGCATGCAGAATATGCGAGCACCTGGCCGAGTGCGTGCTTCCACATTGTCATTGACTTTACTTCGATGACTTCTGTCGCCGCACGAGATCCACCTGGCCGTGTCTGCAAGGGACCTCCATAACCCCTCCTTCACACTCCTGTAAGTTGCACTGCACTGCTCTTTCACTGCCTCTTGGGGCCCCTTCGACTGGTTGTACAAGCTTCTCAAACTCTCCTTCCAGAAAGTCATTGCTCTTGTTGATCAGACTTTCTGGAGTGTGCAGATGAACGTTCTCCAGGGTGCGAAAATACTGCTCTTTCAGAGCAACGAAATAATTCCGCACCAAGGTACCCCGTTCGCTCTCTGTGCTTAAGGCGAACCTTTCAAAAGCAGCAGGTTTGAGACTGTATCGCTTCATTGGAGCACCCCCACGGCCTCCTGCAGCTGAAGAGCTTTCTTGGAGAAAGTCCACGTTGGCTGCAAAGCTCTGCTTCAACTTCCTCAAGGCGTTTCCCTTGTTGCTGTATCCAAGGAAGGTCCACACGCTGTTGAAGTCAATTGGAAAAGGGTTGTTTCGGTCGTTGAATGCCCGGATGAACACACTTGCCGTCTGCTGATCCCCCTCAATGACGCTTGCACGCTTATCCATAGGTGATTGCCATTTAGCCGAGTTGCAAGTCCCTAAGTAGATGGCTAGTGGAGTACTCCTGTTTTAATGAGATTTCTGGGGCTTTTAATCCAGTCGGAGCAATAGACTTGAAGAAAAGCCTGCACAATTCAGGGCTCGAAGACGCAGATGGGGTTCCCATTCTGCCGAAGCATGCACGAGCCATCATTCAAGACTACCATCTGCCACACAACCTTGCCGTTCTGCCCCGTGTCATGGATCAGAACCACACCATCCTCACCTTCTTCGGCAACGTTGAGCGCTTTTTGCTTCACTTTGACTGCCCCCCGGGCCGTAAGGTGCGGCGCATTCGAGGTGTCGAGGTTGCCCTCGAGGAGCGGTTCTCTGGGCCCCATCCCAACCTGGAAGAGGAGGTCTCGCGCGTTGCTCTGGCCGGCTCCAGTCCCAATCAGGATGCACGAACTGCCGGAGGACCGCTTCCCTGCATAGTTCCCAAGAGCAATCGTGTCACCGCCTGAGGCGCCGCGGGCGGCCTCCAGGCCGAGAGCCACAATTCCTCCAGAGGACGTCGGAGACTGCTCGTAAAGAGATCGAAAGCCAAGAGCGGTATTCGAACTGCCCTCGCTGTGGAAGCCGCACTCGCCGCCGACAAGCGAATTGAACTTGCTCGAACCAGACAACGAGTAGCCCGCTCTGGAACCAGCAGCCACGTTCCATTCGCCACCTTGGTTCGAGGAGCTCGCCCCCTTGCCTGCTTCGTACCCCAGAAGCACCGAATTCGCTATTCCCTCCTGATACTGGCCCGCATAGCCCCCCACAGCGACATTTCCTGCTCCGCTCCCGCACTGCAGAAGCGCCTGCGCCCCTACCGCGGCATTTAGGCTGCCATCTGCGGCATTCGCCATCGCCGAGTCCCCAAGGGCTGTGTTTTGGTGGCCCGTTGAGAGATAGTTCAAACTGTGGTTTCCCAGCGCAACATTCGAGTCCGCTGTGGGCATGGCATACCTGGCAACATCCTGCCCGATGAGAACGCTCTCGAATATTGCCCCGCTGGCATCTGCAGCACAATTATTGCCGATAGCGATAACATTTCCGCCTCCCTGGTTACCATTCCCTGCCCGGTAGCCCATGTAAATCACTTCTGTGCCATAGTCTGCACCCGTGTACATTCCAAGCGAGATGCTCTTCCCATCGATCCCGCGGATCAGGGTGCCCTCTGCAGACCCGGCGACGGTCCCTTGGAAGGTGAGGTTCTGGCCGCTGAAACCTCTGCTGCTCGCCATGGTTTGAGAACCGAGTCCTCTACGAAGTTCCAACGGTTATATGAGGGAATATTGACCGCAAGCCTTGGCTTGATGCTGCGTCCTTCACCTTCTTCAGAAGCACACAGACCCTGTGACTTGCTCACACCGAGAGCAGCAAGCAATCGCTTCACTCTGACGCCCCCTCACAGGGTGTTCCTCCTCCTCCCTGCAGACCACGAGCAAGGCTCGTATCTACACTCGAACTCATGGTCCCTCCCACGATCTGTGCCAACTTTGCCAACGGATTGTCGGCATAGTTGATGCGGAATGCCTCTGTCCAGTGCACCCCCGCTGCATGTATCTTCTTCCTGGATCTCACGGGGCGATGTGGGTACACCCGGACATACCCATCGGTCTTGGTGTCGTTGCCAATGAGGCCACGCTCCTCCAGTACGCCTTGTGGTATCAGATAGCAGCATTCCTTGGTGTCCTCCGGCAGCTGGATGCATGGGAAGTCAAAGTCGTCGACTTCATACTGCCTGAGGGTCGGCTTCCCATGAACTTTGCCAGCTTTTTTGTAGCAGTTCACCTGATACAGATCCAATCCTCGGTCGAACCTGGCAAGCTTCAGCTGCCACTTCTTGCCATCAACAACCCAATCGTAACTCATGTGCTCGGCCGGAGGGTCAACGAACGGGACAGGTAACAGGCGTTGGAGTGGCTTGAAGGCGGTGTACTCTGCCAAGGTGTTGCGATCCGTGGGCTTCTCGTGGTCCGTTGGGCTGCGAAGCACGTAGTTCTTGGAGCCCAACATGGCCTCCACGTAGACATCATAGATTGCGCCGGCCACCGTATCTAGGCTGACCTCTTGAACCCGGTCGGTTCTCATGGCCCGTTTGGGCTTCACTGGGATCACAACATTATTGCTGACCACCTTGGAGCCGTCCGCAAGCCAGATGCGTGGGGGCTGAGCGTGCAGTGCGACAAAGATCATCAGTAAGCCAGCATAGCCAACCGTCTTTTGAAAACTGTAGTACCCACTGCGCGACTCACGCCGCACCACGCCTGTGGTCTTGAGCTGTACACCAAGTGCAAGTGCGCCAGGCTTGTATACGCAGAAGTCGGCGAGGGCTTTCTCGAATGACTTGTGGCAAATGAGACGGCCGTCCTCCTGAAGAGCATGGAAGATGAGTTGAAGCCCCTGCGCTTCCTTATTGTAATTTTGTCCGTAGGTTGCAAGATTGGCAGCTCGCGCAGCAGTCACGTCCATCTTCTGAGATGCATGTTTTGAGACATTTGCAATCCCCTAAGTGCTGATGCCGCGTCCTTCTCTCTACTATTTCCGATTCCATAAGCTAACGACATGTCTGCCCTAACATTGCGTGCTTGGAAGCCATGGAGTACGACCACATCCTATAGCTCTGTTCACCGCTGTGGAAGTGGAAAGGTCAGCACACCACACTGCAGTGTACAAGTCCCCCCTCACACCCGCTCACTTCCGCTCAAAAAGGGTCCCAAGAGTCTTCCCAACCTTCCCCGCCTCCTGCAGACCGCCAGCTTTGCGGTTCAACTCTATTGGCGACTCACATACAAGACCCCAGGCACCGGTGTTTGGCTTCGGGAGCGGCTGACAGAGCTAGGGCCACTTCTGGTCAAAATTGGCCAATTTGCAAGCTCAAGAAGGGATCTGATGGACCCAGAGATCTGTGACGAGCTTTCACTTTTACAAGACCACCTCGATCCCTTTCCAATGGATGAAAATCTCATTGAGCGCTTCGATCTCAGCAGCCCGATCGCTTGTGCCTCCGTCGCGCAAGTGGCAATAGGCCGGCTGCGCCGGAGGAAGGTTGCCGTCAAGATCCAGAGGCCGGACGTCAAGGCGCTCTTTGCGGCTGACCTATCCAACATCCACACAATTGCCTCGATTGCCTGCGCTCTGAATCTGCCGGGAAGCAGCAACATGCTCGAGGTAATCAACGAAACAACCCCGATCGTCCTGGGTGAGGTCGACTTTGTTGGCGAGGCCAGGCGCACGACCGCCTTCCGGCGCTCACTCAGCGATGTTCCTGGAGTTGTCGTGCCTCGCATCCACATCGCCAGCCGCAGGTTTATTGTCATGGACTATTTGCCAGGGACAAAGATCACCGATGTTGCACGCCTCCGCGCACAGGGCATTGATCTACAGGAGCTCTCTTACCGTCTCATGTCCTGCTTTCTCATTCAAGTCTTACGCAATGGCCACTTCCACGCCGACCCTCACGCTGGCAACGTTGCAGTTGACAGGCGGGGCAATCTCATATTTTACGACCTGGGGGCTTCGATTGATCTTGACGGCGCTCAGGACCATCTGACGGACGCGATGAGTGCTGTGGTTGCCAAGGATTCCAACGCTCTCGTTCGTGCTCTGAACGACTTGCAGGTGCTAAAGTCGGTCGGAAGCAAGACTCTCGTGCGCAAGGCCCTAGAGCGCTTCTTTGTATATGTCGAGAAGGAGGACCTGTCTACCTTTCATGCTTCGATGGCGAATGAGCAGCTCTTCTCGCGCAACAATGACCGTGTCTTTCGCTTTACGGCGAGCTTTGTGTACCTGGTGCGCTCGCTCACGATGTTAGAGGGCATTTGCAAGCTTCTGGACCCCGAATTTGATTTCGAAACGGCCTTTAACCGCGTGAGGCCGCTCCTGCAGCTGGCACCTTTCATGCAACCAATGGAGATGGTGAGATCAGCCATATCCATGCCTCAGACAGTGAAGAGCCTCTCCAACAATCTGAATGAGCAGGAAGAGATCCTGGATGTCGCTCTTTTCAGGCTTCGGGAGGTGGACGGTAAGCACTCACGATCGCAGCTTCTCCTTGCGCTCGTTCTTGCGCTGAGCATCTGGCAGCTCATCGGCCCTCAGATCCCGTGACCGTTCGGGCCGTGGAGCACCGGGCACCTTGTCCTCGAACTCGTCAGCGGCATCATCAATAAAGTCATGCTCGATCTCGAAACCGCCATCATCAATGTCGCTGCCGGTGTCGCTGTGATCTCTGCACGCTGTTGCAAGCACATCCCACTCCTTTCGTGCAATATCAGCGACGGTATCCCGAATCGAGTCCAGCTGCCGCCTGCGCTGTTCTTCGAGACGGTCCTTCCGTTCACGCCAATCATCCAACAAAGACTTGGCCCGCCTCCGCGTGCGTTCACCTTCCCTGTGTTGCCTCTTGGGTTGAGGCCAGACCGGAAGCTTTGAGGTGCGGGTGTCGCGGTGTGCAGCATGGACTGCTAGGCAGGTGAAGGCATGAGATTGTGCAATTACTGTGCTTGCCATCCTTCTGATGCAGTAGACCAACATTTTTTGACTAGGCAATCAAACGAACAAGCATACTGGTGCCAGATGCGAGGGGCCTGCCATGGCTCGTCCAGACAAGTTTGGAAAATGCCGAGTAGTACCATAGTGGACAATGATTGATGTGGAAGAGATCAAAGCTACTCGCGTTCCTGTGGGACGTGATGGCTTGAGGAAGCGGCCGTCAGCACTAGACTTGTTCTGTGGGGGAGGCGGAGCAGGCATGGGACTTTTCATGGCCGGCTTTGATGTTGTTGGCTATGACATCAGAGAGCAGAGGGAGTACCCGTTCGATTTCTTGAACGAGTGTGCATTGAGTGCAGACATCTCCAAGGCTGACTTTGTATGGGCCTCTCCACCATGCCAAGCTTTTAGTGGGATCATTCCAGCTTCCATCCGTGACCGATACGGGCACTTATGGAATCATGTAAACCTCATTCCCCCAATCCGACAGAAACTGGTACTCAGTGGCAAACCTTACGTCATTGAAAACGTGCAAGGAGCATGCTCCGAGCTACAACACCCCGTGATGCTCTGTGGGACTATGTTTGAAAGATTGAGGGTGTTTAGGCACAGGCTGTTTGAGAACAATTTTGATCTATGCGTGGATCGAAAGTGCAACCACAAGGGGAAAGAGTCTTGGAAATCGTTCTCCAAACTCCAAAATGAGTCGACCCATCGATGATCTCGATCCCTACTCCGAAAACACAGAGATACATATCAAGCCTGGTGAGTGGAGGAAGGAAGTTGTTGTCAGGAAATGTGGCGAATCATGTGGAACAAGAGATGTGTATTACTTCTCTCCCAATGGTAAAAAATTCAGATCCATTCGTGAAATTGAGGCGTTTCTGAGGAGCAAGGTCACAATCTTTGAAGGCGACCAACCTCCCATGAGTTCTCAAGCATCCAACAGAGGCCCCCGAGTCGAACGTCCGACTACGGATACCGCAATGTTTCCTGTCTATGGCAGTCCAGGGAAACAACGGGGGACTGTTGAGGAATGGTCGAATGCAATGCAAATCGACTGGATAAAGTCCGGAAAGACTCTTGCTCAAGCCATCCCACCGGCCTATTCAGAATACATTGGACGGAAAGCTCTGAAGAGTTTGGGTTATGTGCTGGACTACCCGCCCTTTTTCTACTAAGTTGACTCAATACTCTGCAACTCTAATGCAAAAGCAAGCTCCTTCCCCGAAAGATTGGTGGTCCTCTCCGACCGATTTGCCGCCAATCGTTCGAGTTCGCTGGGCTCGACCTCCCCACTTGTCGGCGAACTCGATGCTCAAAGAAGGCTTCGGAGCTTAGGGCCATCGATTTGCAACCACGAGCAATCACATTCGACAATGGAGTGGGCTTACTACGATTTCGACAAGAATTGGGAGGAGTTTTACGCCGCGTGGAGCAGTGACAAGGTTCAGAGCGTTCTCTTTGAAGACATGGCGGAATGGTGCAGGTCGGAAGCCTACTACAACGCGGACGGTTCACGGCCTACCTGGCGCAAGGGCGAATCCCTGTGGCAATTGTCCAGAACAGACTACTGGGACAACAAGTTCCTAATGGGATCCCAGAGGATCGACGAAGAGATGAACGGTCCTCAGCGTTACAAGCACTTCAAGGATGCGATGAGACGGGCTGCAAACATAGAATATGGAGACGAAGATGAGATGTACGAGGCGTACTATACCATCGTCCTTGAACGGATTCAGGAAAGCATGGAACCGAAGCCCGGGACTCTGGAATCGCTCGTGCTTTGCATGGGGAGGAATTACATCCACGACGCCCTGCTGACCACTGCAAGCATGCTGTTTGGCGAGGAGAATGTTTGCGAAGAGGAACACCCCGAGGAAGGTCTCTTCGTTGTCATTGACGATCAGCGACTGGTATTTGACCTACTCGGATACTACTTCTGGACGCGAGACAATGACAAACACTTTGTACCAGAGAACTTTACTCGGATAGTAGAGTGATGCGTATTCTCATGTGACTTCGAATCAGTCTGCAAGTACGGATGCACATTTCTTTTCCATGTACTCTTGAAGATGGCACACCTGATCTCACATGAGGGTGCAAAGATGATCAAGGCCCTGAGAAGGAGTAGCCGCTCTCGATCTCACATGAAGCCATACTCTGGCGCAGCAGGCGTGCCCCCACCCTCCCCCAGTCTGCTGCCCATATGCCTAATCATACTTGGTTTCAGCTTGATGAGCAGAGGCTGACTTTTTGCTCGCATATATTTACATGGCACGAGTCCGTTTCGACCCCTCAAAGAATACCCAGCGGACCATCCCGCGCAACAGCTTCAACAAGTGGTGGGGTCCTGACGAGGTACCGTTCAAGCAGTTACTCTTGAAAAGCCGTGACCTGAACAGCTTGTCCACCGAGGAGCTCGACGAGCTGATGGCTTATCAAGAGGAGCGCAGAGTGGCCAAGGTGGGACAAGGGCAGAGAGCCACGGCCGCACAGCGGGACGCCGACTCGCTGCGCCAGGTCGAGCAGCTCCTTGCAGAGAATCCGGACATTGGACTCGGAATCCATTGGAAAGCTCTCTCGACTTCAAAGCAAACAGTCAACCGTAAGATCGAGAGCCAACGACACTCGTGTTCTGACCTCTGGCGAGCGGCCGAGGCAGACGTGCAATGTCTGTCAGATATTTCACTCGCATAGCAATCCCCGAGAGGACCTGCGGGACAATGATGCTGAGGACCTTCCGATCGAGGTCTGCCACCTGCCCTTCAACATTCGCATCACTGTTGACAGAGTACTCCAAGTATACGCCGCGCATGATTATCCGGAGTGCTTGCTCGTCCTGTTTGTCGATAGTCTGCTTCGTCTCTGCCCTCACAATCCTCTGGAGCTCCCTCTGGATGTACTCGACGTTGCGCTTGTCAAAGAACATGACATTCACTCGGTTGGCACAGAGCTTCAATTCACGCAAGGCAGCTGCAACCTCTACGGGGACTTTGCTGATTGGGGAAGCGCATGGTAAGGGGTCAAGGGCTGGAGCATACCCAGGGCCAAAATCAGAAGCTCCCACGGTGCTGACCTCGTTGATCGAGCGTGCACGGCCAAACGGGTCCATGGCTGCCATCGGTGCTTGCAAGTAGATGCAGCTTTTTTGACAGCACCACACACACACTCCGAGGCTTAGGGCGATTCAAACATAGAGGACAACAGAAACTGCCACTTGCAATGGAGCCGCCCGCATGGCCCCTGACTACGGCAGTCTGGTGCTGGAACTGTTCGCAGCCGTTCGAGACCATCCCGGTGCCTATACCGCACATCTACGACTCGAAACGAAACGTCTTTTATGGCTACGGCAATTTCTGTTCCTTCTCGTGCGCGAAGCGGTACGTCCTCGAGTCGAGCGGCAACACGCAGGCGTGCACTCTGCTGGCCCTGCTGAGATCCAAGATTATTGGCGGTCTTGGAATGGCCAACATGGGTATCAAGGCAGCACCGCCAAAGACGAGCCTCAAGGTCTTTGGCGGACAGCTGAGCATCGAGGAATTCCGCTCGGGGCTGGAGTTCTTATTGCCTCAGAACATGCTGTTCCCTCATCAGATCGTAGAGATGGAACGGACTCTGCGCCCAGGAACAACACAGTGGCCCGGGGAGCTCGGCAGCGACTCCAAAGCAAAGATCTCAAAGACGAAGCCGTACCTGCCCCAGAACGAGACTCTGTGCGGGCAAGCAGCGAGTGACTCCGTACTGGAGGCCGCATTGGAAAGGAAGGCTATGCGTGCTATACAGTCCTCGCAGCCCGTGAAGAACAACACATACAAGCTTAGCAGAGCAAAGCCACTGCAGAACAATGGGGACCTGCTCTCCGCACTCCATATGGACTCAGACAACGATGAGGATGGAGACTATTTTTGATACTGTCACCTACCGTCTGTGGGACAATCGGGTGCCAATATCGAATAACAGCAGGAAAAAGATCCCGAAAGTCAGGTACATTGTCATCCTCTGCATCTCATTGTCCGCCGAATACCCCCGTTTGAAATGATTATGACAGTGCGGGCAGAATGACTGCATGGCGGGTGTTCCCAGATGGTCTCCATGGAATCGGTTGTATGCATAGGCCGGGTGCATGGGAGCCGACACCTGGTATGGTGCATACTCATAAGCGGAACCGTACTCTGGATATGGTGGTGGGACTCTTATGTTGCTGTTGCGACGTTTTGAGAATTCATCTTCGGCTTTAGAACCTCCATGTCTGCGCCCCCTGCTTTTGAGTGGTGGTTCTTCGCTCTTGGTTGAGGCCCAAATTTCGTCCAAAGGTGCGTAGTCCATGCTATAGTTGTGCAGAGAAAAAGACAGTACTCACCGTGCAGCGAGAATCCCTCAACACCTTGACAACAACCATACAACCAACATCTTAGCCTGGTTTGTAAGCAACAGCAGCCTTGTGACGATGCGCAGATGGAGCGCAAGTTTCAAAAGTATTTCAGGATTTGAGACACCGCTTTTTTCGCTATAGGAGGGGGGTGGA